AGAGTGAGTCATGGGCTTATTTGCAGAATGAGTTTCACTGCTACCAGTAGACGTGTGCTTTACTCCTGTGCCGTCTGTCCAGGAGTCCATCCTGGCACAGAAAAAGTCCACCGTAGGAGGCCAAAGTGTGAGGACCTCTCTCAATGGACAGCAGAATGGAGCCAGGAGGCGGGCTGGGGATTGCTGGGAATCTCTAGTGTAAAGGAAGAGGCTGCTGCCAAATGCAGGGCAGGGCGGCCGAAAGAGGGTGGGCCCCACGCAGGTCAAGTTCTTCTGGACAGAGGGAGTTGCCCAGCACTCCAGGCTCTCGGTGCTTCAGGGTGCAGGCTGTCTGCACATGCGCAGTACTGGGCGGATGGCCCAAGCTAAGTGGGCCAACATCAGAGCTCCCCGTGCTTTCAAGAAGACCACATCGACCTCTGCTACACTGGCTCCCTTTCCCCAGCCACGCTGGACCATCCCTAGGCCTAGGTCGGGAATCAGTTGCTTCTCTATTTTCAAGGATTCTTCCTGCTGCTGCTCCTGCCCCACCCTCACGCTCCTCCTCCTTTCCCGCTTCCTCTTCCTCCTCTACTGTCTCCATACTTTTTGTTTCAGTTCATGTTTTCTGTCTTTTGCTTTTCTCCCTGTATAATAATGTCTCTTCCCCTTTCCTCTCCTTTCCCTTCCTGCTCTGCAAAGCAGCAGATCCCAGGTATTGAGGGGTGGGTTATAAAATAAAGGCCTTTGCTTACCTGCCCACTCCCAAGAGTAAGCGTGTTTCTCTGAAGGTGTTTATCTAGTTTTCTCCTAGTCTTGAGTGTGTGTGCATGTGTGCAATTTAAGTGCGGGTGAGGCTGGGCAAATGTGGCCTCTGTGTGCCGCTAGACTGTGGTCTGGGTTGAGTGCCTTGGCTCCTCTGTGCCTCAGAGTGTTCCCTGTGTATATATATCTTGGCACCTGGGTAGTGGCTGTGCCTTCTGGCAGAGGTTGTTCTGCTCCTTTTCTTGTGTGTGAACTTATGATGAGCAGCTGCAGCCCACTGTGTACATCAGGCTGTGTACCACATGTCCATGGTGACTAATGCTGTGTGTTTCTTATTGTGGTGCAAATCTAGATATGTCTGTTATATGACTATGGGTTTAGAAGGCTTGCGTGCATCTCTGCGGGTTCCGAGTGTACATGTCCTGGTGGGTGGACCTACAGGGAGAAAGAGGATGAAGGATGCTTGTGTTCATGTCTGAGGACCACAGCAGAATCTACAATAGGCAATGCAGGAGGACAGGCCTTGTGTGGTGGGCAAATGGAGGTCTGTGGGTGTTGGGAAACTGTCCTAGGGACAGGTGAAGGTGAGGGAAAGTCAGCACTGTATTAATGCTAAGATGGTTGGCAGTGAGGTGTGCACAGAGCATGTGAGTGTGTGGGGGTGTACTGAATGTGTATATGTGTTTGTGTGTGTGGTGCAGCCTCTGTGGGCCTTGCTGTGTCCAGCCCCTCCCGCAGGGCCCCGCCTGGCACATCAGAGCTCAATCAACTACTGCATGAATACACTCGAATGGAAAGTTGTGCTCAGCTGACCAGAGAAATCGGAGCTGGGCTAGCACCGCTCCCCTCCTCCCTGGCTTTCCCTCTCGCCTTCCCCGCCTTCCCTGGGGCCAGACAGCCATCCCTGCCCATGCACTAGGGCAGGCAAGGCTCAGCTCAGCTGGGGCCGAAAACAGTCTGGCAGCAAGAGGCTGAGGGGCCTGCCTGTGAACACCCTCGGCCCAGCATCCTGGCAGCTGGGAGTCTCAGCCTGGTGCTAAGACAGAGAAGACAGGTGGGGTGTATGAAAGCCCTAAGGCGGCAGCCAGGGCTCCAGGTGACAGCCACACAAAGGCCTAGGCAGGTCAAGAGGGTCACAGAGGCAGCAGACTGGGAGGAGAAACAGGCACTGTGTGCCTCACCAGTGCCTCCCTAGAGCCATACCCATGCCCTAAGTCCAGCCACTCCCAGCCCCAGTCCCAGCCTGCCCCGCTCCTGTGTGCTTCCAGACTCACTATTGATCAGCATCAGAGCCCTGTGCCTCAGCAGCTTCCGGGTCATTTCATTTTAATCAGTTGCATGTCTTGCTGGGAATAATCAACTGCACTGGCACTGGGCAGTCGATTCTGTAGGACTGGAGGAGGGCAAAAAGAGGAGCCAAGCCAAGCTTCAGGCTGGGCTAGGGATGAGAAGGTATTGGAAAAGAAGTGGCCTGGCTGAAGGGGTAGATTGGCCCATCTTTCCTCCAGCTGGTGGTTCCTAAGGGTCAAGCCTTTGATACACATCCCATTCTGCTTTCCCATGCACATCCCGGATTGTCATTGTTATTCTTTGAGGGAGGTAGAGAAGGGCAAACTGGCTGTTATTACTGAAAGCTCTTATACCATAGAATAGACAGCCCAGGTACACAGAAGTCTAGGCATACAGGAAGGCTCTGAGCCAGAGCAGAGGGGCTGGGCCTGGGATTGCAAGCAGTGCACTGAGCACAAGGCTGTGGGTTCCAACTCTCTGACAACAGAGGGGGAGCCAGGCCACTGGCTGCTGTTTGTCAAAGACAGTGGGGGTTGACGGTGAACACTTGGGCTCACTTATCTGCCCTGACCCAGGCTTAGAGGTTCATGCCAGAGCACACACTGGTACACACATTCCCTGCCCCAGGTACAATTTGTAGTCTCCCCAGGAGAAGTGCTGTACACAGTGATTGAGATGGCTTTTCCACACCAGGACCTCACCCTGAGCTCGCCCTGGAGCTCTGCCCTCAAGGACTCCTGGAATCTTGACAGTTTTGACCATGTCTTTGGGGAACCCAGAAAGAGAATGAGCAGGAAGGTAGCTTGTAAAATGAAAGCATGGCTAGAAAGGGGGCCTCTGTTCCTCACTCCCATGTTTAGAGGGGCAGAAGCCAAATCCACTGTAACATATCAAGGGCAAGAGTTCAGCCACCTTCTGCCTCCTGAATGAATACAAGTTGTGACCCCTACCCCCTTTCATAAAGGACTGACTACAAGAGACATGTCTACTTGAGAACTGAGAGTCACAGGACACATGTCCACTGGACAGAAAGTCGCTGTACACACTTTCATATCACCTAGGTGTCCTGGAACTACCCTAATATTCCTTGAATAATTAGGAATATATGAACTTCTGAAGCCACATGCAAGTACTGTGCCTAAGTTATACAGTAGGCATGAAAACATATCCTGGGCCCATGCTAATGTTCTGTACATGCATTATATAAACCATCATACACACATCCTCTGGTTTGCAGATTTTGAGCAGTGGAAACTCTGTACTCAGATTTGTGTACACATACACCACCCCCTACAAGAATACATGCTCCTCCTGCAGGGACCAGTAGGTAAGGTCAGAAAGTGCAGGGTAGAGGGGTGGTACTTGTGCAGGCTCAGGTAGAAATACAGGTGATAGGACAGTGAAAAGACATAATGAACCAGACAGATTGACAACTGGCTGGCGGTGCTGAACAGGGCTAAAGGCAGCAGCTACTGTGGACCCTGAGAGTGTGTTTCCCCTGCATTCAGACAACAAGCATTGCTCCCAGGTGTCGGGTGCACAGGCCCTTCCCGAGGTCATTCTCCAGCAGTGCCACCCCTTCCCTCCTATCCTTCAGTTTCGGTTAGTTGACTGATCAGGGTTCCTCCAGACTTTCCATACTGAGTATCCAGGTTTGGGTCCAGTGCATGACTGGCTATCTAAAAATAACAGCAGATAATACAGTCCCTCAGCCTGGAACAGAGGCTCCCGCCAAGTGGAATTCAGGCAGTGGCTCTCCCAAACTCCTGCCACCTGAGTCAATATTGCCTGAAATGTGGTAGCAGGAGGAATGTGGTTCCAGGCACTGGACCCAAGGACTCTGACACTGCAGGCCAGGCGGCAGAACTTGGACCCTGCAGAGCTCGGCTGGATGCCCTAGTTCTAAGTAGGGAGGCCTGCACAGGAATCCTCCTTCCGCCTCCAAGCCAGCCAGCTCTTATGCACCCAGGTTACCTCCAAGCCGGGCAGCCTTTCTCCCTGGGGACTCACCCTGGCACTGCCAGAGATGAGGAAAAAAGAAATCCAAAGTCAAAATTAGTTTGTAAATGCATGCAAAATTCTAGGCACGTTTCTCCCTAATCCTTCTTGCTTTGGAAAGTGGAGTTTCAAGTGAAGGCAAGTTTTCTGAAATTACCTTTGGCTCCTCCTAGGGTGCTGGCTGTCCAGGCCCCAAGTATCACCATCCCTGGGAACTGTGCCCTCAGCCCCACTCCATGCGCACTGAGTAGGAAGGCTTGGGACAACAGGGACACAGTGAGAGGCCGCAATGTTTTTCTGGCTTTCATTTTAAGGGGTAAACCAATTCTAAAGTGGCTCAGGGGCTAGAGGAACTATGGCTGACCCCCCAAAACAGGACAAATGTTTAGGGAGACAGAGACCCCTAAGATAAGTCACAGGGTCATACAGAAGCTCGTACATGGACAGCGCTGAGGGGACCCATTCTGCTTCTAGGACCTAAACCCCACAAACAACTTCCCCTCTCGCTCCCCGCCTGACCCCAAAAAGGAAGAAGACAGAACCTGTCGATTCTCCAGGGAATGGATGCTTGGGTTTGGCAACTTTTGTGTGTTCCCCTTTTAAAAAGCAATGCACCATCAAACCCCAGCACATCCCCCAAGACCCACAAGGGCTGAGTGGCGGGCTACAGTGCCTGGTAGACTCGAGCTGGGCCTGGCACCTTGTGCGGGACAAACTGGCTGTGGTAGCTCCCTCCCACTGGGCCGGCTCAGCTTCTGCTCAGGATAGGCCGGGGCTCTGGTCCCAGTAGGTCTCATCCCGTTTTTGTTTTGTTCCGTTTGGTTTCACCCCATTCCCTGAAAAAGCTCAGGCCCTGCTTTGAAATCCTGCCCCAGCTCCAGCAGATCACCCACGGGGAGGAAAGAGAAGGCCTGGCCGCTGCATCCCAGGGCTTCAGGCCGGGGGACAAAAACACCAGTCTCCGGGAGTGATAAGAAAATGGAGAATACTGTATTTGCTTTAGAAAGTTTTTACATATAGATAAACACGCAGTTAAGATAACAGTAAAAGCGCCCTACGGGGAGTGAGAGATACCTCCAAAGCAGCTAAGAAATACTCGAAATAGCTTTTGCATAAGAATACTACGGTCTCACTCTCCGCTTTCACTAGCGACAGGGTCCCTCTCCCTACCCCAGGCCGCCTTGCCAAGCTCTGACCGCCTAGCCGAAACCAGGACCACCGAGTGGGAGGGGAAACCCCCGAAAAAGAAAGACACGGGTGGACGGGAAGGGAGGAAGAAGGAGGAAAGAAGGAGAAAGAGAGAGAAAGGGAGAGGAGAAAAAGCAGTATCATATACAGGCAATTTCTACACATATATTACAAACTGGGAAAATGACCGACCATTAAGATATACATAATTCATATAAAATTTTGAAATAAAAATAAAAATCTGTTACAGTCATAACTATTCTTTTTCCACATTTATAACCAGTACCCACACAGGCAGTGACAGAGTGGAGAGGAAAAGGTGCTTACGAAGGAAATGATTGTCTGCTGAACAAAAAACAGAAGATTGCATCTTGTCTGACCAATACTTGGACTTAAAAACAGGGAGAAGAGAAAGAAAGAGATCGAGAGGAAAAACAGAGAGCAACCAAAGGTGAGAGATATTTGCTATTTCTCTCTCAAAGAGTTCTTTTTTTTCTTTCTTTCTTTCTTTTTTTTTTTTTTTTAAACAAATTCAGAACGGAGATGGCAGATTTTTTTTTTTCCTTTTTGTCTTGTTTGCTTTCGTCGTCTTGTGGTGGCGGGTTTTTTGTACAGTCGACTCTTTTAAATCATTTAAACTAGAGAGAATATTTTCCCAGATACAAATAAATCGTCATGCAGGTGGGGTGCCGGGTCCATGGGAACCAAAAGGAGAAGCCGTGCTTGTCCTAGAAAGTATACAATTGTCACCTCTCTTGTATTTTCTGCCCGCAATGTCAGCGCTTGTGACTGTTGGCGATGTGGTCCTTTGGGGTGGCCGTGGTAGTAGATGGTGTTTGGGGGCTGTTGATGGATTGCGGTTAAATTGATATTTTTCTCGGTTTTTTAAGTATTTTTGGCTGGAGTGACTGTGGGTGTGGAGTTGTGTGTGTGTATGGTTGTGTATCCTGATTTCGGTTTGTTCTGGGGCTGGAGGAGGAAGAGGAGGAAGAGAAGGAAGGGAAAGAGGAGGGGAAGGGGGGGTGGAGGACCAGAAGGGGAAGGAGGGCGGCCTTGGCTATCATACATCACATTCCGAGTCGCTGGAGGTTACCGAGAGGATCGAGGTGCCGGTGTCTGCGCGCTCCGTCAGGCTGGACACGCTGGTGGTCGGGCTGGCCGCCGTGGACGGCGACTCGGCCGAGCCGTGCGTGGGGCAGCCGGGCTCGGCGAGCGAGCGCATGCCGCTGGGTCCGATGGCCTGGTGCTGGAGCCTGCGGGGAGAGAGAGAGCCGTGCCCGCCCTGACACAGCGGCCGCCACCAGGCTCCCCGCGCCGCCCGCAGCCGGGCCTGTGGCCAGCGGCGCTCCCGGCCTCCCCGGCCAGTACCCCCGACCGTGCCCTCTGCGCTCCTCCCTCCTGGCACCTAGCCGTTCCCAAGCATCGCCAAAGAGCTTCCCCAGCCCGGTGGCTCTGGGCTCCCAGCTCCAGGGACAGGCTCAGGACTTCCCAACGCGCGAGAGGGAGCACCCGAGCCTGGCCGCCTGGGGAGGCCTGGAGGCAAAGGACGGGAGCTCTAGTCGGGACAAACAGAGCTCTTCTTTCTCCCCATGCCCTGGAGCTCTTGGGACTGAGCCCACTGGCTTCAGAGGGAGCAAGGGGGCCGTGCGGTTCCCTCATACCTCCTCCCCTACTAATGTATGTGTCCAGAGCCTCCCCCTTAGTACTAAGTAGCACTTGGGGGCTTGGCTCTCCGGATGGATCCCTGCTCAAAGCCCCGCATCCGGGAAGAGAAAACAGACAAGCTAGAAGCCAAAAGTAGGGCACCAGGAGGGAGAGAGAAAGGGATGGAGGAGAAAGCAGGAGAAAAGCACAGAGTCTTGTCTGGCTGCCTCTTTCCTGGGCCAGGAAAGACTGCCTGAACCTAGTGCCTCCAGATCTCCCTACAAGAACACGTTCACCCAGCACCGGGTGCTCCCCTTGTCAGGCGAAAAGTGGGCTCCACAGGCAGGAGCAAGAGGAAAAATCCTGAACACACCCCGGGAACTCACACTCAGCCCCCAGCCTCCAGTAGCTGTCAGCGGCTGGTAGGCCTTTTCCCCGCAGCAGTTAGGCCCTGCGCCTTTCCAGCTCAGCAAGGACACAGGCTCCACGCTGAGCCTTCACCCAGCTTCGTCCATTCCTTTCCTGGCCCGCTCCTATCCCCCTTCCCCCTGTTTCCCCCCAGTTCTTTTATTTCTTACCTGTGCCCAACCCAGCTCAGCTGACAGCCAAGCCCTCTACCACTTCATGACTTTCTGACCAACTTGTCCACATCAGAGCTGTTCCTACTGGTTTCTCAATGTAGTGGGCCCAAGAGAATGCTCCTCAGCTGGGAGAGGAGGCCCAACCCGGGCACCACACACACAGAATTGAACACATGCGCTCAGAACCAGGCCTTGGCACTCCCGGCAGGATTTTCCTCCTTGGGGCTCCTGTACTGAAGGAGAAACCACTCTGCAAGGTGGCCGCTGGCACTTTCCCTTTGTGGTAGGGACCCAGGCTCACTTTACTCTGCCTGACATTTGTGAACTCCTTTCTACTTTCTTTTTGCAATGCATAGGAATAAGAACAAGATGGCAAGGGGTGCTTTCCTTGCTTCCCTGTCTCTGGACTCCAGAGGAGCATCTAGCTGGGGGCAGGACAAGGAGAGCTGCTCTTGCAGCTCCCAGGGGTCAGGACCGTGGGCTGCAGGCACTCGGTATTGCACGCACACTCTCTCCTCTGGCCAAGGCCCCTCTGGGGCAAAACGGTCAATAAATCCACAGTCCACCCTCTTCTACCCGCCACGGACAGGGAAACTTTCTCCAACTGGCCCGCGATTCCAGCTTCTCTGACGCTCTGCAGCCGCCCTACCAACTCCTGCCAGCCCTATTTCAGCCCCTCTCCCAGTCCCCGGCCTGGGAGGCTGCAGCCAGGCCAGGACCCCGCCACTGACCTGTTCTTGGCCGCTGCGGCGCGGTCGCGCTGCCGCCGGTTCTTAAACCAGTTGCCTACTTGTGTGGGAGTGAGGCCGGTGGCCTGCGCCAGTTCGCGTTTCTTGCTGGGGTTGGGGTAGGGGTCCTGCAGGTACCACTCCCGCAGCAGGCTCCGAGTCCGCTCCTTGAAGCAATGCGTCTTCTGCTCGCCGTCCCAGATGGTGCGCGGCAGCGGGAACTTCTTGCGCACGCGGTACTTGTCCACCGGGCCGAGCGGGCGACCGCGCAGCTTCTCGGCCTCCTGGTAGTGCGCCTCGAGCCACATGGCCTGCAGTTTGCCGTGCGATTCCTTGGTGAACTTGTGGTTCTCCAGGATGTGGTAGAGGTCGCGGAAGTTGCCGGTGTGGAAAGCGACCACGGCGCGCGCCCGCAGGATGGACTCGTGCTTGTTGATGGCCTCGCACGCCCCGGGGGCCACGGGCAGCGACCAGAGGAAGCGGCCCAGCCGCTCAATGTCGCCCGTCTCCTCCAGCGTCTCGCAGACGCTGGCCACCTGCTCCGGCGAGAAGTTGAGGGTGGGCAGCTGGAACATGGACAACTCTTCCGGGGGGGCCCTGGAGCCACCGCCGCCGCCGCCGCCGCCTCCCGCGCGGTTCCCGCCGCCGCCTCCCGCGCCGCTCCCGCCGCCGCCGCCGCCGCTCGCCAGAAGTAGGGAGCAGTGGTGAGAATCGGCGAAGTTTGGCAACAAGAAGTGGGAGGAATAGAGGTCTAGGGGGGAGCGGAATACCATGGACTGACCTGAGAGGAGAGGAGAAAATTCAGGGAGAGGAAGAGAGAGGGGAGGAAGAGGAGGAGAGGGGCGACGAGGACCAGGAGGGAGAGGAGAGGGGGGAGGAGGACAGGGAGAGGAGGGGGGAGCAGGAGGAGGGGGAGGAGGAAGGACGTAAGGGACACCCACACCCCACACACATCCACACGCACACACACCCGCGCAGCCACATAGAGAGGGAGGAAGGAGAGCGGCCCGGCGCGCGCGCGCAGAGAGCGAGCCCGAGCCGGAGAGGGAGAGGGAGAGAGCGCAGCGAGAGCCAACCACCGCCGAGTCAAGATTCAGCGATTCCACAGCAATCGCCCTAATGACAACAGCCTCATCATATCTCCCCTAAATCCACAGTGAGTGCAGCATTGAAACATTTTGTTTCGCTTTTCTATTGGTCTGCGGCGTGTCGTTGTGGCGTTGCCACGGCAACCGCTGCCAATCACTGTCAGCCCTGCCAATCAATACAGAGAACGTAAGGAAGGTTTTACCACTTAGCCAGAAGGGGGGAGGGGAGAGAAGGGTAGGAGGAAGGAGGGGGAGAAAGAATTTTTTTTTAATCTTTGCAACTCTTAATCTAGGCACTTCCCCCCCTTCTCTCTCACTTCTTTCCTCTTTTTTTTCCTCTGGCGCTCGCTCTTTCTCTCTCCTTCTTCCTCAGAGAAGTTGACCCAGAAATTTGAAAAGTCAGGGTCACCCAGTAGTTGAATGAGATGACCAATTACAGGGGGGATTTTGTCGGAAGGCAAAAATACTCCCCACCGCCTCAGGACAAGGTGTGGCCTGCTTGCAAAGAGAAGACCAGGGCACACCGAGCTGGCAAGGTTCGCACATGGTGTATACCATGGTGTGTATACGTGGGGCAGCCTCTTTCTGCCTATGTGAGCATTAACAGTGGCAAAGAAGAAAAGAGATGAGATCATAGAGCCCCCCCCAAACATCAACCCTGGCTCAGCAGGCCTGAGACCCCAGATATTGGGGGGTGATGGTGGATGCATTTGACACCTGGGAATCTGGGCACAGAATCCAGAGGAGGCAGGCTGTTCTGGCCTCCTTGCCCTGTGCCTGCGCTCCCAGGGCTGCATTCACCCTAACTCCCTCTCCCTCGGTTGGAATTCTCTTTACTCTGCTCCCGACCAAGGAGCCTTGATTTTTTCCCCATCACTTTGTGTTTTAAAATAAGAGAAACAACAGTAAACTTCTTTTCATGTTGAAAAGCAACCTGACTCTGTGTCCTCCCCGCTTCCCTTCAGCTACCTCTGGGAATTGTGGAGGAGCTGCCTGCCTAGGAACTTGGGAGACAGACCAATGGACCTGGGGAGCCAGGAAGACACTGGTTCCTCTCACCCACAAGAAGGACCTCCAGGCCTGCCAGCCAGCCACAAAAGGGCACTGAAACTTTGGAGGCTACCTGAGAAAGCAGATAAGGACTGGAAATTGTTTGTTCATATTGTAAATAATAATAAACTGCTTAATTTTCCTGTAGGGAAAGTACCTAGCAAGTCTACAACATACCCTAAAATGTTCACAGAACACAGAGGACACTCCCTCCCTCCAGCCGCCGCAGCCCCCAGGCGAGGCCTGGGTGTTTATCCCTAGGTATGTTGCATTTAAGAAGATGTAGTAATCAGCATCTTGAGCCGGTCTCCCTTTGTGAGGCTTCTGTAACTATGGAAGTGTGATTTACGCAGATTTGTCGGGGTCAGAGACGTCTTTCCCCAGCACTGTGTATATTTAGACAGGACTCGGTTTGGTGTTAAAAAGTGTATATGTTGAATGGATTCACACACAGTAGCCAACAATGCCCACATTGTCGGCCCGTGTACAACGCGTATTGAAACGCAGCGCTCAGACTTCAACTAATCTGCCCTCAATAAAGCTGAAATAATTATCCTAAGCTGCCTTTGCAGAAGAAAAAAATCATTGAGGAATTCGAAACTTTTTTTCCAAAAAAAAAAAAAAAAAAGATCTTTTCTGCATTCCGATGCAGATCTGGAGGCGCGGCGCCGGTCCACACCATTTTAGAGATCTCAATGAGGGAGGAGAGAAAACCAGAGTGAGGGAGAATTTAAATAGGACTAACGTGGCCAGAGCTGGTCTATCCTGTCCCTAAGCCTGGAGCTCAGGCCCAGTTCAGGCCTTGACTCCTGCCACGCTGGAGGCTCCAGGGAGGCCAGGAAGCTCTAGGTAGGGCGAGGGGCCCAAACTGACTTAACTCTGCCTTCCGGGGAGGCAGTTGTGAGCACTGGATCCCTGGAGCCCTGCCTGGGCAGAGAAATATTCCCCCAAAGGAAAGACCCATCGAGTCCCACTTAGGGGAACTTCCCCGATATACTGTATCTTCCTCCAGGCCAAGGGTTCCTTTCCCGCTCAGCTGCGGAGCTCTGGGCGGTCCTTCACTGCAGGCCCAGAAAAAGCCCAAAGGTTGGAACACAAAAACAGACACTTCATCTTTTCTTCCCGAACCCTTTCTCTTGCAGGGGAAGGATTACAGACTGAAAGGTGGGAGGGGAAGGGGCAGGAGGAGGAAGCTGGGGAGGCAGGAATGAGACGAGGGAGGGGAGTGGGTATTGTACCGCGTGTGGGGGAGAATTCCTACGGGTGGGTTTCCGAATATTGTGTTCAACTTTTTGAAAGCAGCTCGTGACCCCGAAACTGCATCCCCCGGACCTGGGGACCTAGGCGCCGGGCGGGCGAATGAACCCCGCCAGTCCCTCCCCATCCCTAACCCCCCGCCTCCGGGTGGGGGCGACCTGGCCTCTCCCCGCCGTTCTGGTGCCAGCCCCGGAGGGAGGCTGGGCAGGTGCCGCGGGCTTTGCTGAAAGCACAGAAATCGAAAATCCTCGCTCGCAGGGATAATTGAGGAAATTCGCTCACAGACTCCGCTCCGCGAGAGCCCGGTCTCCCCGGCCTGTTCTAGGGCGCCTGTGCACCCTGCACCTCGCCTGTTCGGTGGCGGCCTCGGTCCAGGAGCGCAAGCCGGAGGAGGAGGGCGGCGAGCGCGCAGCTTTGTGCGCCAGGACTCAGCTTGGCGGGCGGGCGGGCGGGCAGCAGCCCCTAGCTGTCCTCGCCTAGCTGTCCGCGCCTTCCCGCAGAGCCCAGCTCGCGGCGCCCACTTCGCCCAGCTCGCGGCCGGCCGCCGCCAGCGTCTTTCGGCTCTAGCCCGAACCCCACGCCCGGAGCCTGCAGTCAGTAAGTTGAGAGCCCCCAGAGTGGAGGAGAGGGGAGGCTGGGCGGCTGGTCCTCAGCGCAGACCCCGGGCCTGGACGCGCAGGCTGCTCGGGTTCTCCATGGAGGGGTGCTACGTGTGTCTGAGCGGGAAGGCTGGCTGTGGGCATCAGGGCTTCTCCCAGATTGCTGGACACTGGCAATGGGGATAAGAACAGAAAGAACTCGGGGTCCTCGCTGGTTTGAGGACCAAGCCATTGGGCAGCTCCAGGACCAGCGAGTGAGCTTTGGGAACTCCCGAGCAGGAGATGAGGGGTGCGTGCACCCCGAGTTAGTCATAGCGGGTGAGGTGCGAACTGATAGTCAGCCTGCAGGGCCTCTACTCTGTGGCTGCTGAGACTCCGAGATCAGGGACTTGGTGAATCTGAGACTTGGGATTGGTACAGACCGAGGTCACTTGTGCACAAGAAAATTGTCCCCATCGTCCTCGATTCAGTCGAGGCCTCCAGAAATACAATATTCAGGTGGTGCCAGGAAACAAGTGAGTGTTTGAACTGGAGATGTCCTAGACATTATTTACAAATGTCAGTCTCAGCTCCAGCACTGAGAAAGTCTTAAAACAGGAGACGTGCCCAAGGGACTTGCTTGTTTCCCGTAATAGAGGTCTGCAGGCCTCGGGGAGAGGAGGATAAGCAGGGCTAGGGCGATTGCACCCAGTTGGCCTTGCCTAGCTCGGAACCGCACACGCAGAAGGCCGAGGAAGGTTCTTTGGTGGGGGCGGGGTCCGCCCCTTCCGGCCCCCAGGACGTCGGGAGGGGGGGGGCTGGCCTGCTGGCCCACAGTCTGGCCTCTTTGCAAGCCCTACGCTAAGGCTCTGGCGCGGACCGCCAGGGAGGGCGCAGGGGAGCGCAGCGCACAAGCGGGGAGGCCGAGAAGCCCTTCAAGGACCCCGATTACTTTCCTTTGAAAAACAACAACAACAACAACAACCGCTCCCCACCCGCGCCCCCGCCCCCGTTTTAGCCTCCGGGGACCCGCGCTCCAAGCAATTGTCGCCCCGAACCGTAAACACAGTTCAGTTGCCTCAACTTTCTCCGTGCATAAAAGTTCCCGGCGTGCGAGGAAATTTGAATATTTGATCAGCCCCTTTGAGTGACCCTCATTAGCCTGGCGCCCTGCTAAGGCCTCGGCATTGCAAGAAAGCTGCTGGGCCCGGCATTTGTACGCCTTGTTAGCGCCGCTTAATGAAGCCGCCCGGTCGGCTCAAAGGCGGCCTCGGAGGCCGGCAGCGCGCACCTCTCGGCACCCCGCTCTGCCTAATGAGCCCCACCGCCCGCTAAAGGCCTTTCCACCCCCCACATCCTTAAACAAGAGAAGTTTGGCTCGGTCTTGGGCCACAGGCGCCACCCACTGCCAGGCCCACGATGGTCGGCATAAACCAAGCCTAAGATGGCTTGGCCATCTAGCCCCAAGAAAAAGGAGCAGATGACTTGGCAGGTGTGAGCCCTACTTGTTGTGTGGGTGTGTGTATGGGGGGGTGCAGCTTCAGACTCAGGCTCGGGGTCAGTCTCCCACTCCCAAGAGGGACAACAGCAAATCAATTAGTCACTCTAGTTCCTTAAAAATGCATCTGCACTAATGTTGGAGTGACAGAGGGCAGATGCCCAGGGGAGGGCATCTTCCTTCCTCAAGTTCCTTTGGTGGCCAATACCCAGGAGACTGCACATTTCTTCCCACCCACCAGTTCTCTTCTGACAACCAGAACTCAGATCTAGACTTGAGAAGGTGGGCAGGCTCAGCTCCCCAAATCACCATTGCACCACATCTGCGGAGTCCAAATGGTGTGCAATCAAATGTCGGGACAGTTGGCCAGCTGGAAGGCAACCTACGCTAGGCATCCACCCCACCCCTCAGCTATGCCTTCACCGGTCCAGTCATGTTTCTGGTCTTGGGCAGGCTTCAAGAAAGTGCCATAGAAGGGGTACCGTCCTGGGATGCAACTGGGCCTAATGTAGGCCCGAACCTACATTCTGGAAGAAAGTGAAGCCAAGGCATCCACCTATTCCCTTTTCCCCTTTTCCTGGAGCAAGTAACATGCTTGACCAGTAAATATAGAAAACTATTAGAAATCATATTTCCATCTTCAGAAACCATCCCCTTTCTCCACTTGCCCTTTTCCCTGGACTCAAGGGGCACCCGATGTTCCTTGTCACCCCCACCTTGCACTCTCAGCTCCTGGGCCCTTGCAGGCTCCTTTTGGAGGGCTTGGAAGGCAGGCTGCTCCCAGACCCATACTCCGGATGCCCGCAATGCCTCTGACACACTGTGAGCCTGGTCAGGTTGGTAACTTCCAGATGCCATTCTGGGTGGCCGACTCGAGAAAGGAGAGGGACAGGCCGGCCTTCATCCTCTGCCAAAAGACCAGGCAGGTCTTGAGAGGCAGAGTGCTCTCAGTCCACCTAGCCTGCTCCCCTGCCTCTTCCTCTGTCTCTCCCTCCTTCCATTCCCCTGGCATGCCCACCCCATTTCCCACTCTAAGGCAAAACTGATGTGTAAGAATCATACTTGAGCTGAGTACAGGCAGTGCCCAGGCCACGATTCACCCAAAGGGCACAAGGAGGAGCAGAGAAGCCAAAGGGTGGGAGCCATTGGAGAAGAGGGAGATCTAAGCCAGAGGGTAGAGCTCAGTTCTGTGGCCCCAAGGCCAGGCCCACCGGCTGCTCGGGGGAGGAGGCGAAAGGAGGGGGCTGGAGTCCACGGGCAACGGTCGGTCGGGGCAGCAGGGACCTCAGGCGTCGGCGTGGGGGGCTAGATCCGAAGGCGAGGGGCGGGGGGGGGCGGGGGTCTGAGGAGCGCGTTGGGCGGAGGGGGGGCGCAGCTCTTTAAGAGCCACTCTGCTGGCAGGAGAGGCGAGCGGCCCGGTGCTGGTAGCGCACTGACCCCGAAGGGGATTTAGTGGGAAGGGAGCGGCCGGTCTCGGGGGGCACCCGGAGAGGCCCAAGCACAAGAATAAGGAGCGACTGCAGCTTGAAAGGCCTCGCGGAGCGGCGGCGCTGCTGCTCTTGACTTCTGAGTGGGGTTTAGAAAATCTGCCCCGGCTTAAACCGAGCTGTGGATGCTGGGCCCGGAGCGTCTAGCCGGCGGGCTCTGTCACCGGCCTCCAAGCCAAGGGGGGGGGGGCGGGGTGGGGGAGCACCTGGCAAAGACGCCCTCGGTCTCCAGCCTCGCGGTCCTCGCGCAGAAGACCCCGCACCCCGCTCGACACGGTCGCAATTTTCTTTTGCCAACTTTGTTTTGGGTTTTCTGTGTACACCTCGTGCAGCCTGGGAGCTGGCCGACCCCAGATGGATTCTCAACAGGTGGCTAGGTAAGTCTGTTTAAAGGATGCTGGGGATGTGGTCAGCCCCTCCCTGACCCCCTTCGCTTCCCCCTCCCTGTTTCCCCCCAGGCTGGACAGAGTTCACAAGGCTCCTCCCGCCCGCCTGCGCGCCTGCAAGAGCGCGCGGGGATGGGGGTGGGAGGTGGGGGGCAGCGCCCTCCCCCTGGGGTCTTCGGGCTCAGGGTTCCAGCCCAGCAAAGCTGGCAGGCAGCCCCTCGGAGCGCCTCCTGGTACCTCGGGTCGGAGCACACTCAGCTCCTAGGACTGGGCCCTGGCGCCCCAAGAGGGAGAAGGAGGCAGAGCCTGCTGCTGCACTTCCAGAGCGGAGCCGACAGGAAGGGGGAGCAGGG